GATCATGAGGTCAAGAGCTGGAGACCAGCCTGATCAACATGGTGAAACCCTGTCTCTACTAAAAATACAAAAATTAGCCAGGCGTGGTGGTGCCCATCTGTAATCCCAGCTACTCAGGAGGCTGAGGAGTCACTTGAACCTGGGAGGTGGAGGCTGTAGTGAGCAGAGATCACACCACTGCACTCCAGCCTGGGCGACAGAGCAAGACTCTGTCTCAAAAAAAACAGTGTTAGAGAAAACATAACCCACAATACACTACTTGGATCCACATTCATTCATTCCACAGGTATTTACTGAGTGCTCACTATGTGTCTGGCCCTGCAATATTGGATTGTGATTTGTGCTTTACAGAAAAGTTACAAGTCTACATAGAGTGAAAAGTGGGGCAGGCCTGTATTTTACATGCAGAAGTCAGTGAATAAAGTGGCATTTGACGAGAGACCTGAGCAAAGTGAAGGAGACAACAATTGCCTTCCCGCGGGAACACTGTTCTAGAAGGCACAGACAGTGCAAGGTCCTGAAGCAGGACTGGATTGTCCTCAGCTGTTTAAGGGAATGGAAGGGATCCAGTGGGGCACGGGATGAGTGCTGGGAGGAAGCAAACAGATGGCCCAGGACCATATATGGCCTTATTGGCCCAGGTAAGGACTGTGGATTTACAGAGCCATGATAATGAAACTAATGATTTCAACAAACAAGTATAGTGCAACTGCTATGGAAATACAGGATGGGGAGGAGGGAGTGGCTGTGAGAGAGCTCCAGGAAGCTGGTAGATGATGCCTGACAATGATGAATTAACAAATGGCCGTATGCGCAAAGTATTAGGTGGGTGCAAAAGTAATTGTGGTCTTTGCCATTACTTTTGCATCAACCCAATAACTAGAATGGCGGGGGTCAATACCGGAGGACACAGATGAAAGAGGTGAAAGTGGCTTTGCTGGGGATGAGGAGGGATAGAACATGAGGCTGTTGCTTTTCATTTTTTGAAAACTGTAAGCATTTTTTTTAAAGCTTGGGAAAGTTCTTGATGATGGCTGGGACCCCCATCTGTCAATGTGTAGGATGTGAAACAGCCCTGACAATGTAACTGGTGCTAGATTGGGGCCTGTATCCAGGGTTGGAATATGCTATGCAGACCAGGGATGCTTCACGTTCCGGGGTAGTCTTTTCAAGGTCACTGTGTTAGTCTGCTGGTGCTGCTATACGGAATACCGCAAACTGGGTAATTTGTAAAGAACAAAGTTGTTTCTCACAGTTCTGAAGATTTGGAGGTCCGAGATCAAGACACTGGCATGTGGTGTCTGGTGAAGGCTGTAGCCTCATATGGCAGAAAGGGCAAAAAAAGGAACCAACTCCCTCCATTCAGCCCTTTATATGAGTGCTTAATCCCATCCACAAAGGAGGAACTTTTACGGCTTAATCATCTCTTAAAGGCCCCACATTTAATACTATCACATTGGCAACACCTGAATTTTAGAGGGGACCCCCCCTTCAAACCATAGCATTCCACTCAGACCCCCAAAATTCACGTACTTCTCACATACAAAATACATTCATTCCATCACAATTGCCCTCAAAAGCCTTAAATCATTCCAACATGAACTTTAAAATCTAAGTTCAAAGTCTCATCTAAATCATGTCTAAGGGAGACTCATTCACTTTGAGGTAAATTTCATCCTGAGGCAAATTTCTCTCCAGCTATGAGCCTGTGAATTCAAATGAGTCCGTACTTTCAAATACAATGACGTGTCAGGTACAGGACAGATGTTTCTAGTCCAAAAGGGAGAAACAAGAAGAAAGAAAGGAGTAACGACAGGTCTCAAATAAGTCCAAAACTCAACATTAGATCTTAGGCTTGAGAATAATATTATCTGACTCCACGTCTCACCTTCTGGACACACTGGGGTGGGGGTTGGGCCCCCAACACTCCAGGTGATACCACCTCCAAGGCTTCCCTAAGTACTGGCCTATTGGGGGCTCTCTGCCGTGGCTCCACCCCAGTGACAAATCTCTGCTTGGGCCCTGAGATACAAGACATCCTTTCCATCTAGGTGGAGGTGGCCATGCTCCTACAGCTCATATAGTCTGTGTACCTACAGAGTTGGCACCACACGGATGCCACCAAGGTTTATAAACTTACGCACTGCACCTGGTCCTGCTTGAGCCACAGCGAGGGTGACTGAGGAATGCTCTGCTGGAATGTGGGGAGCAGAGACCTGAGGTGGCCCTGGGCAGTGATCTCTGAGACCCCACAGGCACCTGAGCCCTTCCCCTGAAACTGTTCTGCCCCAAGTCCCTAACCCTCTGGGCCTATAACAAGCAAGGCAGCCCCAAAGATCTCTGAAATACCTTTGGGGCCACTTTCCCATTTTCTTGATGACTAGCACCTGGCTTCCATCTATAATCTCCTTGTAGTCACGTGGCCATACCCATGGTTCTCTCTCCTAAACACACATTTTTATCTTTTACATAGCTAGGCTGAGACTTTTTCAAATATTGACGTTCAGCTTTCCTTTTGATGATAAATTCTGCCTTCAAATCATTTCTCTTTTCTCATATTTTTCTTTTTTTTTGAGACAGAGTCTCGCTCTTGTCACCCAGGCTGGAGTCCAGTGAACTCCTGACCTCAGATGATCCGCCTGCCTCAGCCTTCCAAAGTGCTGGGATTATAGGCATGAGCCACTGCACCCATGTGATTTGCTTTTATCCCATTTACAGTAGCATGAGAGTGTATTATTTAAAAAACTCTCACATTTTTCTGTAAACAGTTGAGAGGCCACACAGCATCCTGAACACTTGGCTGCTTCAGATCTCTTCTGCCAAATATCCTGGGTCATCATTATTCTTAAGTTCTGCCCTCCATGAAGTCCTAGAACACAGACATAATTCAGTTAAGTTCTTTGCCACTTCACAAGGATAACCTTTCTTCCAGTTTCCAATACCTCGTTCTTTATTTCCGTCTGAGACCTCATCAAAATTTCCCTTACCATCCCTATCTCTATTAACATTCTGTTCATGACCACTTAGGCAATCTCTAAGAACGAGGCTTTCCCTACAGCTCTATTCTTCTTCTGAGACCTCATCAGAATCATCCTTAATGCTCCATTCATGGCAATACAGGCTGTTTTCAGCATTCACTTCAAAGCTGTTCCAGTTTCTATTCATCATCCAATTCCAAAGCCACGCCCACATCTTTATATTTAACAGATGTTACGAACTTCTCTGGTACCAGTTTCTGTCTTAGTCCATGTTGTGCTGATATCACAGAATGCCACAGACTGGGGAATTTATAAAGAATAAAAATGTATTTCTCACTGTTCTGAAAGCTGGGTAGTCCAAGATCATGGCACCAGCATCTGGTGTCTGCTGAGGGCTGCATCCCCACATGGAGGAGGACAAAAAGCCAGCCCCTGTATGAGCGCACCTACTCCTAGTTCAGGAGGGAGGAGCCCTTATGGCCTCGTCCCTTATTAAAAGTCCTCTTCTCAGCTGGGCGCATGGCTCACCCCTGTAATCCCTACACTTTTGGAGGCCAAGGCGGGTGGATCACCTGAGGTCAGGAGTTCTAGACTAGCCTGGTCAACAGGGTGAAACCCCATCTCTACTAAAAATACAAAAATTAGCCAGATGTGGTGACAGGCGCCTGTAATCCTAGCCACTCGGGAAGCTAAGGCAGGAGAACTGTTTGAACCCAGGAGGTGGAGGTTGCAGTGAGTCGAGATCATGCCACTGCATGCCAGCCTGGGCAACAGCGTGAAACTCTGTCTCAAAAAAAAAGTCCCCTTCTCTTAATGCTATCACCTTGGCAACACCGGGATTTTGGAGGGGACACATTCAAACCATAGCAATCTCCAACAACTGGTATTTTTCTCCCACACCACATATTCTTTAGGTAACCACACAACCAGTGGGAAAAATAATCAATCTACTTCTGAATAAATCCTAGCTACACTATCCTGCTACTGTAAATGGGATAAAAGCAAATCATGCCTGAAATTATTTGGAATAAGGTGATGCTTGTATTGTTATGCTGATTTTTACAAAATGTGAATCATATTGACCATGCTTATTTGTACTAGACTGCCACACCAAAACTTTTTTTTTTTTTGAGACGGAGTTTCACTCTTGTTGCCCAGGCTGGCGTGCAACGCTGCGATCTTAGCTCACTGCAACTTCCACCTCCCGGGCTCAAGTGATTCTCCTACCTCAGCCTCCCAAGTAGCCAGGATTACAGGCCTGTGCCACCACACCTGGCTAATTTTGTGTTTTTAGTAGAGATAGGGTTTTTCCATGTTGGTCAGGCTGGTCTCAAACTGCCAAACTCAGGTGATCCGCCCACCTTGGCCTCCCAAAATGCTGGGATTACAGGCATGAGCCACCGCACCCAGACCGGAACTTCTTAAAGTTATTTTCCAATTAGGTGAAAAATGAAGTTGTGCTTTCGTTTGTACATCTCTAATTTCTGGGAGATTTATAATCCGTTTGTGTTATTTTGAGAATCATCTGTTCATGGCTTCTGCCCATTCTCCTATGGTCTTTTTCTTATTAATTTATAAAGACTCTAATGTAATAGCCATTTACCATACAGCTTCTATAAGCATGTTTCTGATTTGTTGTTTACCTTCTGATGTTCTTGATATTAAAAGATGCTTATAGAACTGAATATTTTTCTAGTTCCCCCTTTTATGTTTATGCTCTGAAAGGTTTCTCTACCCAAGATCAATAAATATTTACCTATCCTCCTCTTTTCCCACCCTCATGCTTTTATTTTACCCACGTTTAAAGCATTAGACAGTGGAGCCCAGTTTGTCACGTAACTCACTTTTCAGATGAGACTTCAGTGACAAAAACATATAAAGGCTTGTTTTATGAGAATGTGTTGATCCTTCTTAATGTGGCTTATGATTTGCAATCTCAGGCACGTATGGTATTTCCTGCCAAAATATACATTTAAATGCCTTCTTCATTAGCCACCTCACAGCCTTCCCCTCATTTTTTAGGTGTCCTGATGGCAAATTTCAAGGGCCATGCACTCCCAGGGAGTTTCTTCCTGATCATTGGGCTGTGGTGGTCAGTGAAGCACCCTCTGAAGTACTTCAGTCACAAGCGGAAGAACGGCCCACTGCATTACTATTACCAGCGTGTCGAGATCATCGAAGCCGCAATCAGGACTTTGTTTTCCATCATTGGTAAGAGCAGGGGTCATTTGGTCCAGAGAATGTCCTCATCACACCCAGAACCTTTCATTCATTTTCTGAGCCCTGTGAAATGGATGTTTCCACTGGTGGAGGTAACAGGGCAAGAATTTCCAGATGGCCACTAGAGTATTTTATCATAACATCCATTGTGTGTAGAGCTTTATAATACTAATAGTGGACAGCTCTCACACCATGGGTCACTGTGAAAAACTATCAAATCAACAAGGACACAGGTATAGAAAGTTGCAGGAGCAAAACATCCACTGTATGAAAAAGATATGACACAAATAGAAAAAAAAATAGATTAGGCTCATGTATGTGAGTTGTGATAAAGCAGAAAAATCACCTTTTTTCCTCAATTGTCTCTCCCTCCAGAGCCGTAGTTAACACCCAAGTCATTGGCTTATCCTCAAGTCTCAAGTGCTTATAGAGAGGGAGTTTATGTAGAAGATTAATAAGTTAGCCAGTGGAGAGAAAAAGCAGCAGATGGCTGTTGGAGAGGGATTTTCCTTCACTCTGCCCCATTCCAACAAGACTCAACCACTGACTCCCACTGTTCCTTTTCATCCACTTGGCTCCACTGGGGCTCTCCAGGAACAAGCAGTGATGACAGTAACAAGTGTTCTCCCTCAGAACCAGCCCTACATGGGGGAATGAGGGTCTAATTCTGTAACTGACAACTGCTACTTATCATCAGTGGCCTGTGGTTTCTTGGACAGTGAAGCAACATCGGGGCTTCTCTTGGAGGAAGTGATGCTTTACAGAGCTTTGCTGATCTCATCCTGCTGAATTTCCCCACGCACCAGTCTTTCAGCCATCAGAGAGGCCTCCCGTGAGAAGTGACAGGGACCTATGGCTTAAATGATCAGGACAGCATCAACCTTGCCTAAATAAAGCTAGGACTATTACAATATTTGGCCCCTTGACCGGGTGAAAATGGCACTCATTCAACAGCTCTCTGGCACTTGTACCACATGCCAGGCGTGGGAGATACACAGGGGAACCACACAGTCTCCGCTCTCACAGGGCTTCTGTTCTAGCGTCACTGGGACTTTTCCTGAGTCATTTCCACAACTCCCTGACCCTTTGTGTGGGAATTCAAAAAGGGTCTGGTTTGAGAAACAAATGTCTAAGGAACAGAGTCAAGAATGTTGTCATGGAGGATTTCTTCTAGGCTTTCCCAAGAACATTTTGGGTACCAGGCATAAAGACAGATCTTTAGCCTTTCAAATTAGGTGATACAAGCAGAAGGGATAAGAACTAAGAGATGTCCTGTGGTGCAGCTTCATCAGTTTTCTGGCCCGCATCATGGGGCCTCTGCCTTGTTCACCCAGTGTTTTAACACAGAGCTGGGAGGAGGCGCAGGGCTTGCAGAGCCGGCTCCGTGCCTGGGAAGACACACAACTGGAAGCCGCTTCTCTCCCTTGGCGTGTACAGGTGTCTTCATTACCAGTGTGTCTCTGCTCAGATTCGGTTTTCAACCTAATTGTTTCTGAGATTTCACTGCTCACTTGGCAGCGAAGCCCAGAGATTATTGTATCAGCCACACTCCAACTTAAGTGATGGCGCCTTGCTCATCTCCGCTCCTGGGCAAACCTCCTGGGGATCTGTGTGTGGTTGTGTTCATTGATTCTTCTTCCTTCAACCCCAAACCCCTAAGGGAACAATGATGGCAAGACGTCTACACAGATTACTCAGCACACACCCTATTTCATACTGAAGTACCTGCACCTGAGGCAGCAAAGTAGGTCTGCTGACCTGTAGGCCACCTTCGCCCCCTCTCTGCTTTGTTCAAGCCTTTGGGTTGTTTCTTGCTCCTGTGTGTCTTGGAGCTATTCTTCCCTCTAAAACATCCACTCTCATTTCCCCCGCAGGGATCCTGGCAGAGCAGTTTGTTCCGGACGGGCCCCACCTGCACCTCTACCATGAGACCCACTGGATAAAGTTAATGAATTGGCAGCACAGCACCATGTACCTATTCTTTGCAGTCTCAGGAATTGTTGATATGCTCACCTATCTGGTCAGCCACGTTCCCTTGGGGGTGGACAGACTGGTTATGGCTGTGGCAGTATTCACGGAAGGTAACTTTGTGGAACGGATGGAAAAGAGGAAGGAGAGCCTGACAAGTCATATTTATGAAGGATCAGAGCACAAAAGACCAGAAATGTTACCAATATAATCTTCTCCAGAAAATCCACATCTCTGGACTTCCAAAAACTGCATAGGACTTAGTGCTATGCTCTGGATTGGCCAGATGACATATTCCCTAAAGCAGCCCATGAAAGCTTTGAGGCTTGCAGGCAGTTCCCAAAGCCCCCGGTTAACCCTGAAGAGTCCTCCTTGCCTTCCCACTGCCCCCAGCAGTCCCTGCTCCCACACGTGCACATTCCTCAGTGTGGATGTATGTGTGCGCATACACATGCATGGACACACACTGCCCCACCTGGTTGAATGCCACCACTCAGGACACATCTCTTTGCTTAAGCAAAACCGCACACCACCCCTCACCAGGGAGGTACCATCACAAGTCTCAGGAGACCCACCCCACTGCGAGGGGAGTGCTCCCAATATGACTTACACTGACTGGGGTATGAAAATGCATTTTGTCATCTAACAACCTCACTTCTGTACCTCAGCAAGAGTTGAAAAAGGTTGAGGGCAAAACTGAATTTCAAGTACACATACACACTGTCTGTTACAAATCAGCAACATGCTTCAGCCAGCCCACCCTGTACTGACCCCACCATGGGCTCCGGTAGAGATTTTAAAAGACACATCCTTTGCTGCTTTATACTCCCTAAAATACTCAAGGAATGCACTTACTCAGATCTGTTTGCTGCCTGTAACATTATGTAAATTAACTTCCTAAATGCTGACGAATCTAGCTGAGACAGGTATAGGAAGAAACTTTGGTAATGGGGAAAGCCAAGCGTAGCCCTGACGGCTGCCATCTGGTTTGTGGCAGGTTTCCTCTTCTACTACCACGTCCATAACCGGCCTCCGCTGGACCAACACATCCACTCACTCCTGCTGTATGCTCTGTTTGGAGGGTGTGTCAGTATCTCCCTAGAGGTGATCTTCCGGGACCACATTGTGCTGGAACTTTTCCGAACCAGTCTCGTCATTCTTCAAGGAACCTGGTTCTGGCAGGTGATTTTCCACAGGCCCCTTGCTGGTCTGGATGGAGAAGCCCCACTGAGCACATCCAGGAGAAATCCCTGACGAAAATATGGGGTCTGAAAAATGCAGCACTGATGTGCCATGCAAACAAGTTTAGATGGCCCTTTTCCCCCATGCCCACCCTTTGACCTCTAGTTTTATCCAATTAATATCCAGCGGATGCATTAGCAATCCAAAATCTAGAGCATGCACAGTGAGGTTCAGCTGTCCTCCCCAGAGGATGGGCTGATGCCTTTCACAGGCTCTGCTAGCTAAACTGTACACTGGAAATGTGGGCCCTGAAGTTGTTTTTTTGTTGTGTTTTGAGACATTGTCTCACTCTGCCACCCAGGCTAGAGTACAGTGGCACAATCTCAGCTCACTGCAACCTCCATCTCCCAGGTTCAAGCGATTCTCATGCCTCAGCCTCCTGAGTAGCTGGGGCTACAGGCGCCCGCCACCACGCCTGGCTAAGTTTTGTTATTTTCCGTAGAGATGGGGTTTTGCCAAATTGGCCAGGCTGGTCTCGAACTCCTGACCTAAAGTGATCCGCCCACCTCGGCCTCCCAAAGTGCTGGGATTATAGGCATGAGCCACTGCACCTGGCCTTGTTGTTTTTAAGTAAGCCTATACTAAAACCAAAATTAAGTTAGAGCCATTTTCCTATGTGAAAAGGCCTTTCTATGCTAACAAAGCGTGGGAACTATGAGGCAATGCGAACATATGGGCCACTTTGGTGGCCACAGGAGGACGGCTCGGTTGCTTCTCAGGACAACCAATTATAAGACCAACTTCTCTGTGTAATCCCCCAGATTGGGTTTGTGCTGTTCCCACCTTTTGGAACACCTGAATGGGACCAGAAGGATGAGGCCAACCTCATGTTCATCACCATGTGCTTCTGCTGGCACTACCTGGCTGCCCTCAGCATCGTGGCCATCAACTATTCTCTTGTTTACTGGTATGTCTAAGACTTCAGTGAAGCTTTTCCTCCTAACCCTAAGCAGGACTGATGTGATTAACTTGCACGGTCTGATGAGTGCCAACTACATCCCAAATCCTGTGCAAGGTATTCTCATGCAGGGAAGGTATCACTACCCTTATTTGCAAACAAGGGGAATGAGGCTTTTCAAAGTTAAATGACCTGTCACAGTAACCTGAGGGACCCAGGTTTCAAATGCAGGTCTCAGATTTTAAGCCTACGGTGTGGTGGGGAAAACTGAAATGGGAATCAGTACTGGATGGGAGACCCTGCTGTAACAGATTCATTCTGGGCCCATCATCTTATTTCGGGACCTGCCCTGCCTGCTTCCCAAAGATGATGTGACAATCAAAAAATAAACCAGAGCAGATGTTAAGATAAACTGCCCTCTACCCCTCACTAAAGTGCTCTTTAGAGGTATACAGATTATAACAGCTATGGACTCCTATGTACTTGCTGTGCCCCAGGCCCAGTGGAAAGGAGCTACACACTATTATCCCATTTAATCTTCACTGCTTTATGAAGTATGCCCCATTATTTTTTACTGATGAAGACAAGGCTTCAAAAAGCTAACTTGACCAAGGTCACCCACTAATAAATGGCAGTCTCTCTCAGCACAAGGGTGACTTTTAGCAAATGTTATCACCAGTTCTATTTGCTGTTCAGCTGCCCCTACCTTTTATTCTACGTCATTTCTCTAGATCCCAAGTAGATTATTAGGTTGGTGCAAAAATAACTGCAGTTTTTGCCAGTATTTCATCCATAAAGAGTCCCACACAGACCAAAGAGAAGGGAGCTCAAGTCATTTTCTTTTAGTTCTGCTGCCCAGGCACTGAAACAGCAAACCGAGAGAGGCAGACCTTCGCCTCCACTGGCATTCAATCGTTTCCACCATCAGTCCCTTTATCTACTGATGAGTATTTTCTAAAAAGTCTGGTTCATAGACATAATCACAGTATTTGATAGAAATATAAAGAAAATACTTTAAGAACCAGTAGATGCCTTCACATCCTTGGGTACTGGATTAAGGGAATCTCTGGCTAATTGGCTCTTACTGTTTTTCTGTTAAAGCCTTTTGACTCGGATGAAGAGGCACGGAGGAGGAGAAATCATTGGAATTCAGAAGCTGAATTCAGATCACACTTACCAGACCGCCCTCATGAGTGGCTCAGATGAGGAGTGAGCCGGCATGTGGAGGGTGTAGACATCCCACTGAACAGCTGGAGTGAATGGAGTTTATCCCCTGAATGCCTGCTGTCGTCTGATTTTAAGTCTATGTATTTGCACTCCTCATTCAACACAAGGCTGGAGGTTCTAAAACAGGAAATCAGGCCTACAGCATCCAATATATCTTGCAGTTAGGATTTTTAAACATAATTTAAAGTCTATGTTGGTACAGTACCCTTTGTAAAGAAAAATGAAGTAATGCCTCTGAGCAGCAGGCCTTTGTGTCTCAGTGTAAAGAGAAATCAAGAGATGCTAAAAGCCTTACAACCGAAGTGGCCCTATGGATGAATCCAGGATATGAGCCCAGCAGGAGAACTTGCTGCTTTTGGTAACTTACCCCTTTTTCTCTTAAGAAAGCAGGTACTTTCTTATCAGAAATATGTTAGAATGTGTAAACAAATGACAGTGCCTTTAGGGTTGCAGGTCTAAGTTACGTATTTTTTATAAGTAAAATAATTCACAGGCTTTGGTATTTTAAAAATACTACTTATTAAACATATCATAACTGAGCCGGGCATGGTGGCTCATGCCTGTAACCCCAGCACTTTAGGAGGCTGAGGCAGGTGGGTCACCTGAGGTCGGGAGTTCAAGACAGCCTGACCAACATGGTAAAACCCTATCTCTACTAAAAAGACAAAATTAGCTAGGCGTGGTGGCGCATGCCTGTAGTCCCAGCTACTCGGGAGGCTAAGGCAGGAGAATCACTTGAACCCGGGAGGCAGAGGTTTCAGTGAGCCGAGATCGTGCCATTGCACTCCAGCCTGGGCAACAAGAGCGAAACTCAGGAAAAAAAAAAATCATAGAGTACTGTAACACTTCACTGTTTGTAAGTGACAAAATTAGGCCAAAGGTGATGTATTTTTTAACTCCTGCCCTCCCTCCAAAGGTGGTTTTTTTAATCAGGAAGCTAGTTACCAGCTCCACTGAGAGCTGGAGCCCTGATGTTCTGATTCCTCAAAGTCACCCTAATACAAGATCTGATAGAAAAGCTGTATAATGAGGTAGAAAAACGTCACGTATGGAAGGCCTTCGATTTTAATATAGCTGAAATCAAAGGACATGAATCCTGAATTAGTAATGTGAAATCTTGATACCCTAATCTTGTTTCTGGATCTGTTCTTTTTTCTTTTTTAAAAACTTCCTTCAACAAATATTTATTAAACATCCACTTTGCAACAGCACTGACATGGCTGTAAGGACTCCTGAGGGAAGTGTAGTAAGGAGTTCCATCGAACAGGAGAGACATGCTAGTAGTTACATCTACCGTGATGGGTGCCATGAGAGGCAAGTACATCCACCAAGTCCTTTATGTAAGTAAGTAAATAAATAAATGAGAGGCAAGCACAAACCACGATGAGAAAAAGGAGAGGAGGGAAACTCGGACGGAGTTCGTCCTGTAGAAAAGGCACATCCCACGCAGGCTGTGGCACATTAAAAATGAAAGCACAGGCCAGGCGCAGCGGCTCACACCTGTAGTCCCAGCACTTTGGGAGGCCGAGGCGGGTGGATCACGAGGTCAGGAAATCAAGACCATCCTGGCCAACATGGTGAAACCCGTCTCTACTAAAATACAAAAAAAATTAGCCAGGCATGGTGGTGCACACCTGCAGTCCTAGCTACTTGGGAAGCTGAAGCAGAGGAATCGCTTGAACGTGGGAGGCAGAGATTGCAGTGGGCTGGGACTGTGCCCTTGCACTCCAGCCTGGCAACAAAGCGAGACTTCGTCTCAAAAACAACAACAGAAAAAGAGCATAATAAGAACGCAAAGAACTTAAAAAGATTAAGTTCTACAAACTGTTAAAAGTGGGTTAGGACCAGCCGGGCGTGATGGCACACGCCTGTGATCCCAGCCCTTTGGGAGGCTGAAGTAGGCAGATCACCTAAGGTGAGGAGTTGGAAAGCAGCCTGGCCAACGTGGTGAAACCCCATCTCTACCAAAAATACAAAAATAAGCAGGGCATGATGGCACATGCCTGTGATCCCAACTATTCGGGAGGCTGAGGCAGGAGAATCACTTGAGCCCAGAAGGTGGAGGTTGCAGTGAGCTGAGATCTCACCACTGCACTCCAGCCTCAGCCACGCAGTGAGACTCCATCTCAAAAACAAAAACAAAACACTTACCATAGTTGCGCCATTCATCTATCAGAAACCTGAAGCCAGCATATGAAGGAAGCAGGTGTGGCATATATCCTGGGGCTGTCACCGTAAATCGCTCCAGTAGGGAGTTTCCATTCTATGCTATTGCTATTCCATCCACAGACTGGATAGTGCCAAAGTTGCACTTCCTGAGGAGTCAGCTCCCACTGGCATCCTGAAGCAACCCGAACTTTAAACTCACTCCCTGCTCTCCAGAATGCACACGTCTGCATTCGCAAAGATGACAGAGTCAGGTGGCCTGAGCACACAGGAATGTGGGCAGGGCTGCGACTGAATGCCAGAGCTACTTTTATGAAATTCCTTGTTAAGTAAATTCAGAAGGGGTTTGTTTGTAGCTGGCAATAAATACCTAAGAGAGGATCTCTGGAATTTGTACCTTTTTTTTTCCATTTAAAAACTGTCTCATGGCTTTCTAAGTGAAATGTGACTCTTCAAAATAACGAAGACACACAAATATCAAAGAATTATCAAATGCAGACACACTCACCTTTACTCCGGTGGAAAGACCCATTTCCCCACACTGCACCTACATCTCCCCACTGCCAGCTTCATCCGGTGCAAGGCTACTTGCCCATCACAAGCTCAACCTGGGAGGCCCATTTGCCTCTGCTCTCTGCAATGCAGGCTTCCCACCTCCTAAGACTGGATTGCCTCTAAGCTCACCAGGACACAACACAAGCATCCGGCCCAGAGGAAGGCAACAAAAAGGGACTTGACTTAGAAGACTGCTTCTAACTTCAACTCACACTCATGTCTTCACATGGTTAAAAGGGGAACGATGACACTGATTTTACAGAATTGCTCTAAGAATTAAACGAAATGCCTGTGAAACAGCTGTGGAGCCAGTAAGCCTCCCAGACCTTCCACTTCTCCACAACTCGCCTACCCACCCAACATCTAAGTTACGCTGCTTCCATCCCACATCCTCTGGCTCTAGCTCTACTTCTTCACCCAGAACCCACAAAGAGCTTCAATACACTCCAAAAATTAAAGATACATTTTTAATAATTTGGGCACTTTCAAGAGACAGGGAAGCCCTATAGCTTCAGAAAGCCTTTACCACCCACTGCTGCCCCAAAACAAGAGAAGTATATATTGTTGACAACCAGCGCTTGAATTACTTATTACATTTTAAAATATCGTCCCAAGGTCTCCCTGTAGCTGACAGTGGCTGAGAGGCGTGAAGTAGCCAGGATTAAATGACGTGCAAATCTAGACTGACTGCTTTTGGGGCTGGTACTGCCAGGCAGGCAGATGCCCATCCCTTGCAACCCCACTGTCCTCCATCATCTTGCCTCTGGAGCAAGGGTCAAAAACCTTTTTCTTAAAAGGCCATATAGGAAATAGTTTAGACTTCAGGGCCAGCCAGTCTCCATGTCAACTACTCAATTCTGCCTTCAAATCTGAAAGCAGCCACACAGATAATACAAACACAAATGGGTCTGGGCTGTGTTCCAATAAAACTTTATTTACAAAAACAAATGGCCAGCCCCAAGAGCCTGGTTTGCAACTCTTGCTCTGGAGCAGAGCAGAATGTATACTCTCTGAACTGCAACAAAGTTTGTGCCGCAAAAGCAGCACCTCTGCAGTCATTCCCCTCTTCTCTGTCCACTGGCTCCGGACTTCCATGTGAACAAGTTTGCCAAGAAGGACAATGTGGGCAGGTGAAGCTGGGAGGGGCTACAACCAAGATCCCACCGCCCCCCATCTTTAACAGGCAGCGCCAAGCAAATCCCATTTCAGGGGACCCACTCTACCTTGCTGCCTACTGTGTCTTCCCACCTTACAGCCTCTCGATTACTATGCAGTTACCAAGTCGGTCACCAACTTACTAAGATTCTTGCCATTCTCTCATTCTAGTCAAAAGAATAAGTCATCAGTTTAATGGAGGGGGCAGCAGAAGCCCAAGTTTCTATTTGATAAAGATGTACGACAGGTTCTTTAAAAAAATAAACTACATAAAGTTTTCTGGACACAAAACTCCTATCCAGACCACTAGTCATGGAGAAGACCAGAAGCCAAAAAGTACAATCCTCATGGAGAACCGGCTTATTCGTTGTCTGTGCACTCTGCGACTGGTAAGCCTTCCCTGGGGGTCTTACTCTCAGAACTCTGGCATGTATGACATAACAGGTACCTCCTGCAATTCCAACAGAACATTCCCCTGGATTGGCAGAGAGCAGACTTGGAACCCTGGAGTGAACCTTCCTCAGGGTGCTCCACTATGGCACGTGGCAGCAGAACCCAGGCCACTGTTGCCATCATCCCCCACCTGGCTGCCTTCAACAGGCAAGCTTAAAAGAATGATGCAACCTCCCTGCTCCCTTCTTCTCAGCCTCGACAGACCAGACATGGTCTTGCATGGAAGTCAGACTCTCTCATAATCACTGTTGCTCAGGTGCCTGTTTAGGAGATGGCGCTGTGGTCACAACAACAGTGGAGACTGCTTTGGAGGAGCCAGAAGCTGTTCCCTGTTGGAGATGGGATGCAGGGACAGTCTGGATGCGTACCTGTTTGCAAAGAGGAGGTCAGGTCAGTGAATTGCAAGTGGGTTCACCAGTTAAAAACAGCAGTGGAATCAGAGAGGAGCCCGATATGGCCAAGAATTTTCCCTGGGCCTTACCTGTGTGGCCTGACCTTGCTGCTGAAGCTGCTGCAACTGCTGAGCAGTGAGGAAACTAACAGGCTTATTGCCAGCAATGAGCTTAGTGCCCGCTGGCATAGTTGTGAGGATGATGTTGCGGCCCAACCCACTGAGGCTGTGGAGGGAAAGCAGGAGTGAGGTATAAGGATATCGGCAGGTATTCTCCAGCCCAGATTTAAGCCATGCATTGAAGGACAACAATGTGCCAGTGAAAATCCCAGCATTTCAGACCGAAATGGAAACCAACTGCTGAGACCCCGTTTCTTCCAGGTTCTCCACTTCCCATGGCAGAGGAAGACAGTAATCCCAGAAGCCACCAGTGCTCTGGATAAAAGGTGGCTTCTGGATAAAACGGCCCCTGGCTCCCGGGCTTGACCAGCAGGAACAATGGACAGGGCCCCAGAGAGGTGTGTACTTCTGCAAGAAACTCTCCTACTAATAGCTATGTCTCACAAGCCGCCCTGAGACGGCCAGACTGATTTCATTGGGCCCTTTATCCCTGTTCAAATCAAGACCACAGGTAGCCTTCATTCCCTGAACTGTTTGGGTTCAGAGTTCAACTGTCAAAGGGAAGCTTTCCTCACACCTACCTGAGCCCCATCCTAGCACTTCCCACTCCCTTTTCTCTCCAGTATGTACATGCTGCTTTATTTCTCTCTCTCCT